GGCTTTTCCTCCCTTGAGCATTAGCATAGCCAAAAGAAAAATGTGTCTGAAGTCAGAGTATCTGCCTTCAAAAGCCCTCCCTGCCACTTCTTAACAATATGACCTGAGTACAAGGAGACCATCTCTCTGTACTTCAATTTTTTAATCTGTAAACTACAACAATGACAGAGAGGATGTGGGGAAAGCTTTTTGTGAAACTTTAAGCACTGTGTATGCCAACTACTGCTGTTTATTCTGCTCACAGCTGTTCCATTTAAAAATATTTCTTTTATTTTGAGCTTATGAAATAAAACAAGCATTTCCATAACATATATAATAAAAAAGGTGATTGCATTAAGAATCTGCAACTCCATTCTGTGCAACTTGCTATTCCTTTTAAATATGTAATTATCATGTAACTTTTTTTTCCTTTTTTTTCCTCCTCCCTACAGATGGGTATATGACTATTGTTAGACGTGTGTGTGTGTGTGTGTGTGTGTGTGTGTGTGTGTGTGTGTGTAAAATCACTATTTGTATACTTCTATTTTTCAGTTCTTTCTCTAGATGCAGATAGTGTCTTCCTTCATGGGTCCTTTGTAGTTAATTTGCATATTTATAACAATCAAAATGGCTTAGTCACTAGAAGCTGTTCTTGAAACAATATTGTTGTTAGTGTATACAGTGTCCTCCTGGTTCTGTTTATTTCACTCTTCATTATTTCCTATAAGTCTATCCATGTTTTTCTAAGATTATTGAGCTTTTTTTTCTTTTCTTAGAGCACAGTGGTATTCCATCACAATCATATACCACAACTTGTTCAGCCATTCCTAAATTGGTGGGCATCTGTGCAATTTCCAGTCCTTTGCCACCACCTGCACAGACATTCATCTTTGATCCAGCCAAACTGGTTGACTTGCTTTTCCTGGAAAACGTTGGAACATTTTCCTGCCATGGTGATTATGCTCATTCTATTTCTTCTCTCTGGAGTGCTTGCATGCCTCTATTTCTCTTTCCTAGGCCTTATTCATTGTTCAAGACCCAGTTCAAATGTCATCTGATTCAGGAAGCTTTCCCTGATCACTTTTCTTTTTTTCTTTTCTTTTTTTTTTCTTTCTTTTCTCTTTTCTTAGGCAATTGGGATTAAGTGACTTGCCCAGGGTCACACAGCTAGTAAGTGTTAACTGTTTGGTCTGAGGCCAGATTTGAACTCAGGTCCTCCTGACTTCAGGGCCAGTGCTCTATCCACTGCCACCTAGCTTCCCCTCCCTGATCACTTTTTCACCAGCCTCACCTCCAAATTGAATTCAATTTGCTTCAATTCAACAGAACAAATGCATGTTAAATTCCTACAAAGTGATAAGTATTGTAATAGGTTCTGGGGTTGCAAAACAAAAACTAAATAGACCATCTCTTCAAGGAGTAGGGATAGGGCAAATCAGCAACAACATTTATACGTATAAGTATCCTCAACATAATGTAGAGCAATGGTTAAACTCAAATAGAAATGGTTTCTTGCAAGTAGCATATTGACTTAGAAAATCACAAATTAATGTGATTCATGTTGTCTTTTATTTTTATTTATTTTGTTAAAAAAATTTCCAATTACATTTTTAATCTAGTCCAGGCAAAACTCAAAGAGTTTTTCATGAGTCAATGGGCGAGTTTGTCCCTTTTGTCATAAAGGATAAGGAACTGGATTCTGAGTCAGAAAGACTTGGGTTCAAGTATCCCCTCTGACACTTGCTAGCTGTGTGTGTTTGGTGGGGCAAGTCACTTAACCTGTCAGTGCTCTAGGCTGGAGTTATCAAACACAACCATATGCCACATGCCACCCATAACATTCTCAAGTACAGCCAGAGCAGATTAAAATGTAATTGGGAAAGATTTAACAAAACCAATAAAATACAATAAAAATAGATAATACTACATTTTAAAACTAGGACAATATGTAGCCCACAGAGCTTATTATGTATGGATTAGTGGTCCTGTTTCTATTTGAATATGACACCATTGATCCAAGCAACTTTCTAAGATGGTGCCAAGCTGATTTAGGAGAATAGCTTTTTTGTCCTGAAATTTGAAATGAAGTCACAGGTTCAGTCCCAATCTCTAGCAATTTGTGGGGTGGAGAAAGACATATATCTAATATGAATGTGACAAACTGTTATCAATAGAATAGGGCAACATTGAAAGATAGGAAAGGATGAGATGGGGACACCAGATGGATGAGGATGACATGATGGATTCTTTGAGGAAATGATGTCAAAGACAATATATTTTATTATGCCATGAGGAAAAAAAAAAGTCAAAGTGGGTGGTACATGAAAGACAGATCACTGGTCTTGACTAACAATCCATTCAAAGGGTTCATGGTGTTCTGGGGCCCGGCTGGTTTATAAAGGGATAAGGCATATTTGAGAAATATACTCTCAGCTTTTTAATCTTTGCCCCAGGCCTCGCTCCAAAATTGTGTAGATTATCTTCCCCAAAGTATGTCTTTGCTTCTTGACTGATGGTCCAATTGTGTTTTGATGGAGTTCTGGACCCACGAGGTATGGAAGGAGTACTGACCCTCATATAATTTTGTTTGTGCCTCTTTTATGAGGCTCTACATATTCTATCTTGCTTCATAGCTATTTGCGTTAAGACCCCACCTTAACAACATCCCGTTGAGGTACAGAGGAAATCTTGAATTCTGGAAGATAATGACAACAGAACATCAGCTCTGGCAGGTCCTTGTAAGCTAGAAGAGTTTTGAGTACAGCACAAGTGAGAAACTGCATGTGTGATTCCAGGGCCTTGGTATTGTTCAGCACCAAAGTGGCCTCAGGAAGATGAATTTTTCAAACATAGCAACTCTCAATGACCTTTGATTATTCATAGAAGGGTTGTAATATGCAGTGACAGAAGGTGTACCCATACAAATAAATCATGGAACATTGAAGTTTTGAGTTCAGCTTGATCCCGTTTCTAAGCTATAAGCTCCATGATGTAAGGCATTGTCACTTTCATCTTTTTTGCCTCCCCTACTAGTAAACAGAGTCATCCCTCAATAAATATCTGTCAGTAAATTAACATTTGTTAAGTGCCTTTGCTAAGAGGTGGGGATATAAAAAAGAGGCAAAAGACAGTCCCTGTCCTTGCAGTTCACAATATAAATGGCAGAATTTTAAACTCTAACATCCGGCCATAAACTTTATTTAGGAAAAGATGCTAGAGATAAGACCTCTTTAGGGCCCTTCGTTGCTGAAGGAAGTTCTATGTAAATGCCTGACAGGATTAGCTTACCCCATAAGGTTTAGAATGTCAGTGGTGCCCTGGAGAGACCACACTGAAGCCTAAGCTGCCATGGTTTAAGGATAAAACTCAGCAATGGCATTTAAAAAGACAATATAGTTATTGTATGGTAAAAAGAAAGTTGTATAAGACCATGAAAGGAAATAATTCATCAGTCCTTGAAATAAAGGGAAAACACATATACACAGGAAAAGTGAAGAGTGATTATGATAGTCTTTTACCTTTAAAAGCATGCTACACGCCAAAACAATGTTCTAGCTAATGAAAAATACAAGATTGACTCAGACTCCAGCCACAACAGTCACACCAGGGGTAGACAATGACATCTAGTCATGCTATTCAATGGTTTAGGGCAGAAAATGGAAATTATGGGGAAAAGTTGTGACTCTTCACTGGTTCTTGTCTATCAGGCACAGCCAGAGCTGGAAAGCAAGTTAGACACAAAAAACCAATCTATATCAGGAAGCCATGGGGATTAGAAAACGTGCAATGAGCCCTAGGCTTTTAGTACATGAGGACAAAACCTGCCCTGTTCAAAGTGTTGAAACATTCGCTAAAACTTTTGCTCGAAGCCCTTGGATGGGAATCCAATATCCAACAACTGTAGTTCTTAAATGAGATGGCAGTGAGGAAGGAAATAAGATGAATCATTCCTTTGTTTGCCTAACCACTACAAAAATAAAAAACAATTTCCATAAGTTATAATGGCCATGGAGAACTCTCACCTGAATTTATACTATTCAGATCTTGAGCAGCTATCCATTTGCCTTCCTTGGCCATGTTCTAAGTACCCACGGAGACATAGACACAGACACAGACACACACATACACACACACTCCATATACATACACATATACACATATGTATATACACATATATGTATGAATATGTCTACATGTATGTACATATCCATATGCATGTGTGTAGATATAGACATGCATGTATAAATGACTATATATGCACTTACATATGTAAATGTGTAAGCTCCAAGATTTATATATATATATGTATATATGTATATGTATATATGTATATGTATATGTATATGTATATGTATATGTATATGTATATGTATATGTATATGTATATGTATATGTATATATGCTTAGAAATTCTGTGTGTGCGTGTGCATGTGTGTGAGAGATCCAGTTACATATTTACTGTAGCGGAATATATTTGTAAATAAGTATTTAGAGATAAGTTAAAAAAAATTCAAACAACTTGGTCATGTTTATGCAATTTAGTGTAATAATACATATTCCTTAGTGTTATTCTAGGGGAAAGAAGTTGGGAAGGGAAAGGGAATTCATTATTAGAAACATTACAGAGATGATAATGGCAAGAATTGTCAACTGACTGAATATTTGACGTGAGGGAGATTGAGGCATGCACACTGCTTTTTGTTTCAGAATGAGGTTTTTAACTCAGGTCTCCTTGATGCCACTCCATTGCTTACTAAGCAAAACGTCATTGTTGTCATTGTTTTTCTTTTCCTTTTATCTAGCTTGCGTTCTTGGTGGAGAATAACTGTTCACCATCTTTCACAGACTGTGTAATAACACTACCCATACAACAGAATGGTTTCCAAAAGCAGGCATGTATCTCTGGCATTCCAAGTGACAAATTCAGGAATGTTAAGATTAGCAGAATATCAGAGCATCAGTGTATCATTTCCAAACAATACAGTACAATTTATTTTGCAAGGGAATTCACACAGTTCATCGGCCTTCTCCAACATTGCTTTATTGCTCTCTAGAGATGATAGTATTTGATGAAAAACAGAGGCATAGGGTTGATCATCTAGCTCCACATGTAGATTTTGTGAAAATAAAACTGGGCCCAGACTGATGCCTCCAACATGTAACTGGTGGTTTGGATGTATTTCTGCAATTGGAGAGAGAGGAAATAAAATTTACAAAGAAATAGGTGGCAGATTTTTTTCCACCCACTTCTTTATGAAATTGACTGGAAAAAGTACAAACTCACCATTGCCATTCAAGCAATTCCTGCAAAAATATATCTTAGTAGGACAATGGATTAAATGTAAGCTAAAATTGGTGAATTTGCATGACCAAAAAAGAAAAATCCAAAAGAATACAAAAGTATTGATTTTTTTTTGATGATCTCTATTTTCTTAAACTGAGAGTAGGGACTGATTTATTGAAAACTTCCCCCATCCTATTTCCACAAAACAGACTATTTCCATTTGTCTTTGGAAAGAAAAAGAAAAAAAAACTGCTTCCATGGTCCTTGCAGCAGAAAAACTCATGTTAACAACAGGTCAAGCACAACCCTGGTTTTGGGGAACTCATGAAGAGCTGAGAAACTAGTGTTACATGTAGCTTAAAGATAAATTTATTCTCAATTCCTAATGTTCTTACATTGAATAAAATTTACCTCCAGGCTCAAAACCAGCAAGTTAAAACCAAGTCTTTCTTCTGATCCTTGGATGGAAATGACTCCCTTTACTGCTTCTTCCTCTCTTTCCCCTCCACTGTCAGCCTCAGGCAGACCAGCTGCTTTGCCTCTAGAAACCTCTCAAGCTCATTTTCTGATTCCTTCAGCTCTCAGGCAGAAGCTTCAGATTGTCAGACTCTCCAAGCCCTTCTTCTCTAGGGTGCTTGGTGCTTCCCCTGATCTTTGAGGTAACACATTGTCTAAGGCAAGAGCCTGTTTAGACTACGTAAATGATCCAATTTCTGATTAACTAAGTTACCCATTAAGAAACTTCTTGGTTTATCTAGTTTTACCATGTAAAATCTTCTACAGAGAAGGTACACAGCTTCAGAGAGGTTGGAATTGAATTAAAACACAGCTACAACTTGGAAAGCATTCATAGGGTCAGGGGCCTCTGTGAATCAGGAAAGCAAACAGGACTTTGTTTTGTCCTATTGGCATAAACATTCAATCCTGGTAGGACTGGAAGAGTGTATTTGCCTTTCTTTTTATCCTTAGTACTTATTAGTACAGTGCCTTGAGCATAGTAAATGATTAATAAATGCTTATTGACTTGTACGATTCACTATTAAATGCCTCTTTCAACCTCCTAAAACCTCCTCTGATATTTAACATGTCTCAAGTAATAGGATAAATCAGTTTCTCATCTAAGTGTCTGATGTGCAACTTCAGAGTTTTCCAAACACAAACAGGAACAATATCCACTCCTACTCTAGACCATGGCATGAAATAATAGTCAAAGTTATTCAGCATTTTCAAATACAATTCTCCCACATACATATCCATTTCGTGTGTGTGTGTGTGTGTGTGTGTGTGTGTGTGTGTGTGTGTGAAAACAAAGTTCAAATCAAAGTCAACAAAAATGAAGCTAACGTGAATTTGCTACAGTTGAGTCTAGGTAGCAGAAGGGGCACCTGCCAATACTGCGTAGCAGATGTAGGTCAAACCCTCCATCACTCCCTACTCACCCTAAATGACTCAGCTGGTGACACAAGCACATATATACTCTTCCAGTTCTTAGTGGAGGCCATGGCCACAGCAAGAAAGGGTGGAGGCCCTCCACCAGGAGGGGATGAGTGAAGTATTCATTGATGTATTCCTCATGTAGATCTAATGTCTCCACCAGCCTCACCATGCAGCAAGTAGGGTGACAGCCCATGCTGCACCTTATCAACATGGTGGCAGAACTATATTCAAGTGCCTCGTAATGAGATGTTAGGGTGTTATCTATCCTTGAGCCCTGCTGGGCCCCATCTGCAATAGTTATGGGTCTCCTTTTCACTCCTCCAGATTCCTAATGATTATTTGGAACAGAGCCTCATATCAGACTGTCAAGATTCCATTTGAACCTGTCACTAGGATTCAGGGGAAAACAAACAAAAACAAAGCAAATGGACAAAAATGCCTTTCCCTCTATCCCTAGAACACACCTATACAGAGTTTTAATGATTAGGCCCTTGATCCCCAAATCCCTCACTGGCCACTGTCATATTTTCCCATTTACCTACAGGAGATATCATGTGCAATGGAAAGAATGTTGTATTTAGAGTCAAAGAATCTATTTTCAAATTCTGGATCTTCCCCTTACTACATGTATAAACTTGAAAAAGTCAGTTAATCTCCCTTGGCTTCATTTTCACCAACTGTTCCAGGTTTGGAATAGATGACTTTGAAGTCCCTTTCATCCCTAAATGTATGGTCCTATGAGAGTGAATGTAGTATAGTGATTGCTGTTTTTGTCATATGTTTAAGATCTATTTTATTGGGAAAAAATAATAAATTCTTACTTTGATTTCAAAATATGAAAGCTAAGAAACATTATTAGATTTTTTTTAAAAAGTGAAAAGTATGAGTGGTATGACAATGATTTGTCAAACAAGGGATGTGAGATGAGAGGCTTGACTCCACACAATTTGGAAATTGTTATATTTATGAACAAGATAAATTTTGATTCCAATAAGTCTAAACTCTAAGGATTTTTTAAGCTATAGAAACCTAATTAGGCTAAATCCTCCTGTAGACATTAAAAGGACATGAAGTGAGGATAAGAGATAGGAAAAAATGGAAAAAGTCTATAAAGATTTTTTTTAAACAAACTTCTTCCATCATTGACAGTGGAGTTACCATATTTGAAGGGTAACCATATTTGGAATGCAGCATCTCAGTCTCCAATGCTCTACATAAAGATATACAACTGACACTACAGAAAACAAAATAGGAAGAGTCATTAGTATAGAACAAGGATAGTGGAGGTCCTTGTACAAGGTGATATAATTATTAAGCTGTCAAAAGTCTGATTGCCAAAATGTATGAAGAAGAGAAGGTACAAAGTCTAAGGGGTGGAGGTGAAGGAAAGAGTGAGGAGCACAATCATAAACTTTACTACTAGCCCTGAAAAGTGGTGATGGAAAAGTATGCATTACTGTAAATCACAGCCTTTTTTTCCATCTTTCTGTTTTTCAGCCAAAGACAGAGTTTATTAGAACATCCACCATATTAGCCATACTCTTAAGGAATCTGAACATTACTTAGCTATTGGCTAGATTATAAGAATCTGAACAGTGACTAGATTTTAAGAATCTGAGCACCTTAATGGAGACAAGATGGACCTTATATACAGAAAGACTGTGGAAGGGATCTAGGAGTGGACAAGCAGTTTGGGGTAACTGGAGGAGGGGTCTAAAAAAGATCTGGATGGGAGTGGCCGGTAAGCTGGGGTGAACAGAACTCCTGGGACCTGGACTAAGTGGCCATGGGAGAATGGAGTCTAGATAGGATTAAGGGTGTGAAGTGGCTAGGGGCAATTGAGAGGTAATAACCACAATAAAAGGCCAGTTGAGTGGATTACATCCTCAGGCAAGTGCCAGAGATCTGGCCCTGTGGGAAAGTCCAGGGTTTTTACTTTTTTGGGGTCCAGATCCCAAAGACATGGTCTTTTCCTTTTAAGGGTTCAGATCCCATCCCCATCATTCCCCCTCAAACAAAGGGGACCCAAATTCTTTTGGGTTAAGGGAAGAAGGTCTTGGCTTCTGAAACTCCTTCCTGCTGGCAAGGGGCATAGAGCTGTCCCTCCCTCAAGGGGGTCCCAAAGAGGAAGTTGACTGCAGCTGAGCATAGGCTGCATCCAGGGGATGTTGGAGGGACATTGGCTGGTACCTGCCATTTGCTAGCAACTGTAGGTGAATCGCCTGTAGTCTGGAAGACACAAATCTGACAGAAAAGACTGAAGGGCCCAGATTTAGGGAGAAGTAAAAGTGTAAGAACCCCATTAAAATCATTTACATTTGACCTGCAGGATTTTCAAAAGTTTAAGTAACACTTTTTCAGGTAGAAGTTTTCCACCCCTGGGTTCAATAGTTATACAAATGAATTTGCCAGAGACTGACTTTCACTTCAATTATCACTGAAATTTTTCTCCCCAAACCAAACTGAAAATGTTTCTGATTTCATTTCAGTTGTTTGGTGGTATTGAATGACTAGACATTCAGGACAAAACAGCAAGATCTCACACTTGCATTGATCTTTTACTGACTACTTGCTGTAATTATAGAAATTTGCTATAAAAGGATAAAACAGGGAGTAGATTTATGACCCAAATATGACAGGATAAAACATCCTTAGCTTTGTTTGAATTCAGATAATTCACAGTTTTCCAACCATGCAGTATCAAATCCACCTTATAGTCAGGAATAGCCAGGTGAGTCACATTCCTTTTCAAAGGAACATAATGGGGAAACTGAGCCAGGAGGATCCTATTTTATACTGAGGCTAAAAATGTCCTCTCAGTTTTTCCTGATGCAGACTTCCCACCAGTATCACATTCTCTCTTAGTGGCTTGTGGCATTTCTCTCAGATGGAGGATTATTGATTATTGATGGATTATTATTATTATCCAACAACTCAAAATCCCATGAGCTTTTACCTCAAACAGCAAGTTTCACTAATCACAGCTTAGGAAAAACTTTTCCAGGATTTACATCTCAAATTTAAATTTGTCCTGGTGTAAAAAGCCAATTGCTAGAGATTATTTCTATATACTTACAAAGTCTCAACAAGACAAAACCCAAACAATCTTTTTGGCAAGTTTCTCCTATGAGTGGGATTAACAGATATCCTCTTGAGTCAAGGGAAGGGAGTTGGAGAAGGGAGAGACCAAGGTAGTAAGGAGGTGTTTCAAAACTCCTTAATGATTGATCACAAAACAGCATCAGGCTGAGTGTGAGACAGCCTCATAACTGTCTGCCTAAAAAGCACCTTCAACCCCTCCTAGGTGCCTGGACAGGGACCCCAAATGCAGTGCAAGAAAGAAGGGGGGTGGCTTACATACGTTCCTGTCTTAGCTGGAGGAGAACTTGGAATTAGGCAGATTCCCTGCATGGGAAGTTTAGATTTCATGTTAAGGTTTAGAGGTTTAGGGGTGCTGAGACCCTATAATCACAACATGCAGATCCTGCCTCAAAGAATTCAACCCAAATCTTCTTTTAGCCAAAGACAAAGTTTATTGGAACATCAGCTGTATTAGCCAGACTCTTAAGGAATCTGAACATTACTGACCTATTGGCTAGATTTTAAGAATTTGAGCCTATTTTCCCATCTTTACATAATAATAATCTCCATATTGACTAAGAGCATTTATGATGTAGGTACTAGAAATGGATGCAGCTAAAGTATTTCCCAGAGAAAAAAATACATCTTTCAAAACATATAGCAACAGAATGTAAATAAATGAGAGGATTAATAAAGTGAGCATTCAATTAAAAAGAAAAAACTCAGAAGTCGACAGATCAACAAAATCAAAACAAGCACAAAAGAAGAAATCTTGAAAAAAAGTATGTACAGGGGGAACAGAAATAGATAAAATTGAAGACAAAAAGACAATGAAATAATAAACAAAACCAAGTGTTTTGTTTTGTTTATCATTCCCAAGGCTAACAAAATTCAGGAAACATTAGCTAGATTATTTTAAAAAAGAGATATGGAAGTAAAACTACCCAAGGAAAAATGTATAAGGTTAATTCAGAATGAACAAAGAGGAAATATGTGTGTGTTAGTTAGAAAATACCACTGGTAAATATATGTAAAAAAAAAGAAAAAGAAAATCTCAAAACTCAAAAGGAAATGTATAACTTCAATTTTGTTTTAAATTCTCAAATTTAAAAAAATGAAAATAAAACAAGAAAAACAGAAAAAAAAAGACATGAAGCAAGCCATAAATGAACTAACAAATGAGAATGAGATGGAAGATCTCTGTCCAGAAAGATTTATAAGAA